TAGAGACACTGGTCTCCTTCTTGTTTCTTGCACAAAGCCCTCCATATCCATTTTCACTGGTTATACCCCATGTATTTAATGCTTTCCCTCCTCATTTCCACCTCCTGGATTCCTTGGCTTCCTTCAAGGCCCAGCTAAAATCCTTCCTTCTACAAGAAATCTTCTTGTTCCCCCACAACGCTAGTGCCTTACCTCTTCTGATTATCTCCAATTTCATTCATATTCATATTCACACACACACACACACACACACACATTTTGTTTCTATGTAGTTGTTTACATGTTTTCCTTCACTTCCCCACCCTTGGACCATGAACTTCCGGAGAGTTAGGACTGGCATTTGCCTCTCTTTGTGTCCCCAGAACTTAGCCCAGTGCGATATACAATGAAAGGTTAATAAATGTTTGTAAAATCCAAATCGTGACTCTGGGGAGCAGTTCTTATAACAGAGAATGGTAAGGTTGAGAAAGAAATTAAGGCAGAGGGGCTTTAACCCCTTTAACCTGGTTGCTCAAGACCTCTGGGGGAAATGTGTCTTTGTTCTTTGGGTCAGTCTGAATTTCATTCTAGCTCCTTTCTCCTTTTAACTTCCCAGAGTCCACTATCTGGCCCAGAACCTGATGTCCCAAAGGCAAAGAAGTAGATTTCTTTGGCATCTGAGGATTCTTGCTCTAGTCAGATCATTTTAAAGCTGTCTGATACAGTACATATCCCCAAAAGGAGAATAACTGGACTAGAATTACACATCTTTGTGAGGCTCTTTGATATAGCTTTAAATGTTTAAAATTTATTAGTTTGTTTTCATCTAAGACATAAGAAAGCACTTTCATCTTGAACGCTGCTTCTGTGCAGTAGAGAGCTTCTATAGGATTGCATCTATTCCTTCTCCTTTTAACTTCCTACTCAGTATATACTCTTACAGAGGGGTCCATGTTTAGAAAAAGAAGAGAGAAGCATTAACTTTCTAACTGAATAGCAATTCAGCAAAATAGAAAAATTGGAGTCGCAAACTCTATTTTCAAGTCCTGGCTCTCCTACGAACTGGTTCTGGACCTTGGTAATCTCACTTTATATACCTGATACTCAGCTTCCTCATCTGTAAGAAACTAATGGTAACAGCTGTACTAAGGACTTCAGAGGCTTGTTATGAGGATTAATAACGTACTGTAGGCAGAACATTTTGTACATCAGAAGGCAGATGCAAACAGAAGCTTTAAAAGCAAATGCTAGAAAAACACCCCAAAGTTAGACATTTTTCTGCTTATATTTAAGCCTCATTCAATGTTTATTTTTCTGGTCTGCTATTCTGGAGACATCTAACCTCAAACAGGATGTTTTAAGATTTCATTGAATTCTGCTGTCTGTTCCCCACCTGAAATCACAAGAGTACGGATTTATATCCAAAGGAAAACAATGGGAATGCTGCCCGTGCTTACCATGGGACAAAAATCTTGGTTTGCTCTGTGTATATGACAGCAACAATCAATGACGGTATCACCAATCATTGAAAGGCAAGTGAAAGAACCTATCTACTTGTGGCTTGTCTTCAAATGCAATACAACAAACATTTATTAAATACCTAGAACACTTAAGGCATTGTGCTAGATGTAGGAATGGGAAGACAAAAAACAAACAGAAAAATAGTCCCTACCCTCAAGGCGTTTGCATTCTAATGGGTGTATCTAAATAGATAAGATAATTATTTCAAGATAATTAGAAGAGAGAGTATTGTTGTCCTTCACTTTCCAAAAAGACCAATGACATCACGGGAGTGAATTGGAATTAAGTGAGGCAGAGTAGCACAAAGTCCTCAGCCTCACTCTCTTCCAGAGTCATCAAAGTCCAGTGGCAACACAAAAGTCAAGCTGTCTGGCAATGGCCCCAAATGCAGTGGACAACCTTGGCATCTTCAATATCTGACCAAGCTCTAAGCACCTGCTTCAGCTGCCTTCATGGCTGTTGGAACAAATTGCTCTCATCTGTTCGTTCCACTAGGAGAAGTCTTCACATGCTTCGGGTGGACACCCCAAACTCATATACTGGTTTATTGCCCACTGGTTACCTTCAAGCTGGTTTAGTCTATCTGCAGAGATGGTTTTACCTAGGTGTGGCCCCTGTACATGCTACAGTTTCTTGGAACCACAGGTGAGAGTTAAGTGCCAGGTGGACACCAAAGGTGGATGAGCAGCCCTGAAAAGGCCTTGGCAAGCCCTCACACCAGTGGTGCTAGTCCTCCTTGAATACCAATACACCCCATACACCCATTCACAAGGAAGGAGAGAGCATTAACAGCTAGAAAAATGAGGAAAGGCATTCTATGGGAAGTAGCTCCTGAACTGAGCCTATACTAAAGCATGGAGGTGGGAGATTGCATACCAAGTTCATGGAAGAGCAAGTGGCCATGGCTGGACCATAGGGACACAGAGTTCAAAAAGAGAAGAACTGTGAAATAAATCTAGAAAAGCAGTCTGAGGCCAAATTTTTGGAGGGCTTTAAATGCCAAGCCGAGATTATATTTGTGTTTTAAGCTAAATGATTACATCAGTGTCCAGGATACATGAAAACACACTACAGGAGAGGCACAGATAGAATAACATAAAGAAAATAAAACTAGCCTAGAAAAAAGCTTAATTTTTAATAAATGCCTTAACCTCATTGATAGACCTTTTCTACTTCTGAATGCCACTTTCTGAACTATATGATGCATAGCTTTATAAAGAAAGGGGAGAAGGAACTAGAGATTACTACCTAGCCACATGTTAAGGACATAAGCAGTTAGAATCAGGCTACCAGGGACTTTAGAAACTATCCAGGCCAACACGCCGATGTTACAGATAAAGACACTAAGGCACAGAGAAATTAAATGATCTGCTTGATGTCACCCACCCTGTTTGTGGCCAAGCCAAACAACAGCCCAGGTCTCTCAGCTCCGTCTGATGCTGCATTAGCAGCCTTCTGAATACCTTCAACATTTTACCAAGCTTGTAATCTTAACTAACTGTTCTAATAAATCAGTGAGGTTCAGTGACATAGAAACAAAAGACATTTCTAAATAGAAGCACTCAATTTAAAAAAAAATAATGTGTTCTGACTATAAAAGGTAAATACTGTGTATATGACGTATAACTTAGTGCTGTCACCCCTAATGAGAAGCCTTCTATTGCTGCTGTACATCAGACAGCAGTGGCCAGAGACACACAATCTCAAAACACCTCAGATACAAGTGGATGCATATACGTTCCTCCATTTTCCTGTCTGAGAGGTATATAACCAGCTAACTATACCAGAAACAAAAGGAATCTGAGAAGGGCAGCAAAGAGGGCAAGGCAAGATGGAGTAATTAAAAGAAGGAAAATGAGGCCAGAGAAGGGAGTCAGAAATGGAGGTAGCATGAGAAGGAGATTTAACTTGTTTTAGAATATAAAGGAATTGCCTGTAAGCAACATACTTTCATCTGACACTGTTAGAAAAACAACTCAAACTAAGGTAAGACATCAAAATAACTCCAACTTGCTAGCCCTTGGGTAATGTGGGCCTCATAAGGGTGCCTGCTATTGTAGGACTCTTAGTTAATGGCTCAATATGCTCTAAAATGTAAAGTACTTTATAACCTTGCAGTTTACTCTGGAGCTCTCACAGTCAATTTTCCTAGGATACAATGAACTTGAATGAGGTTTTATGATGGGGCATTAAAAATAATGAACATGACTTTGGACACACAACATAGTCAACTTTCTTAAATGTTTCTGCCAGAAACTTATTTGTACTTAAAAAAACAAAAACAAACAGGAGAAGACTGAAAAGCTCTGGGTATTTTTCACAACACTGCTACCCTGATACCTGGCTATTTAAATAAATGGTCAGTCTGGAGAGTATATAAGCCCAAGCCATCTGAATATATGGATTCCTAAGGCTGGAACCATTTTGAAAGACATATCTACCCTTAGCCAATAGCTCAATGTTCACAATGGTTCTGCAGAGAAGAAAAAGTGTCTTAAATTGCTACGATCCTCAGTTTCAAGGTGGAGATAAGCTCAGTAACGCAGAATTCCTTGATAGCTCTGGTATTAAAGGGCAGAAGAGAATTCATATTTTAGATTAAAGAGTAAGCTTTCATCATCTTCAGTCTCCAAGGCCACGTGGGGTTAATCTCAACTATATTATTGTCATCTATTCAACAAAAATTTACAAAGCATCTACTGTGTGCTGTCCGCTGGGCAAGACTCTAAGGAAGACAGAGTGTCTACAAGACATAGCCCCTGATTTCATGAATTGTACATTCTAGTAACTTATAGAATAGTATTATAAAATGTACAAAGTTGTTGTTCTTGGAAAGCTAGGGGTTGAGGGAAGTGGTTTATGATATATAAGGGGTTTATATTTGTAAACATGTCAGTGTGGTATCTGCCATCTCAGGAATTTGAAGTTACCCTCAGACAGCAAGCTTGCCTATTCTAGCATGAGAGGGGAAATGAAGGGAAGGTATTTCTACAAATAAGAAAACTATAAGGCAACTGTGCAAGATTTTCCTTAATAATACACAGTAATCCTTTAGTAATCCATGTTAATGGAAGCAGGCAATGGCACGGCTAACCCCAAACTGCACATAATCCAAAACTGATTTATGGCTTTGGAATGCATCAAGGTTCTCACATCTGAATGCAGGTAAACCCAATGATCTGTACATTTTAAGCACCCCAAATAAAATAATGAAGTTTCATTGGGAAGACCCAATTCATTTATAAGCTACCTGATTTCCCCATACTGGCCCCAGATCACAAAAGAAGTGAGTACATGCTAATGTCCAATCCTTGACTTTACATTTTTATCCCCAAGATGAACCCATATCCAGTTACAACAGACATTCTGGTTTACATTATTAGGTATAGCCAAAAATAAAATCACACCATAGTTTCGAGGAGAAAAAAACCAACTGTGCTGATGACATTCCATTCCTGGCTGAAAGTTCACTAAAGCAGTCTTAAGTGTGCCATACTTACTTCCTGAGCACAGTTTTGCATTCTGATGAATTTTGGCTTCTATCTTCTTCACAGTTTGGGCTCTTCAGGTTGCCATACCTGTATGACAAAATAAATACATTCAACTGGCACCAGAAAAGAACGCAATTCAATTTTTGTAACAGAATGACAGGTATGCTTGGAAAAAATTGCTAAAGGATGTTGAACTGTGGCTTATTCCATAAAACTATGGGTCTATCTATAAAAATCCAAGTAGTTTAATAAAAATAGTTGGTTGTCATGATAACCTCATTATACATAAAACTGTTTCAAGATATATATCCAAATTATATAACAGAATATGCAATTACCTCAATTTTGGTGTTTTACTTTAATGATATTATGGACATGATTGCATCCTGAGCTGTTTCGTTTGTTTTTTAAACACTGCATTTTTGTGGCACATGAATGTAATGAAATGTTACTGTACTATAAGAAATGATGAGTATGATGAAGATGTCTGGAAAGACATATAAATGGACAATAAGCAGAACCAGGAAAACAATATGTATAATAACTAAACAATGTAAAAATAACAAAATTGGATAAAATCTGAATATTGGGAAGGTATAAAGAACAAACTTGGCCCTAAAGGAGGTATCAAGAAGTCACCTCCCCCTGTCCCTTTGTAGAAATCAGTGTTCAGGAATAGGTAGGGTGGTATGTATCTGTGAACAATGATGATGAAGACAATGTCAACACAAATAGTGGCAGATTTTTTTCAGCGTTTAATTAGTTCTAATGATTTTTTTCTTCCTTTTTTTCTTCTTCCTTTAAAAAAAATCTTTGTTGTAAGTTATGGTTCACTGGAAGGATGAAGGGGGAGGAAGACAGAGGGAAGCATAGATGATATAAAAATCAATTAAAATCTATTTTAAAAACTTTACTTCCTTTAGCAAATAAAGGTACTTAGAAGAGAACTATTCTTTTCCTCCTAGCAAAAGAAGCATGGAATGATTCTAAGACATAAGATTTCTTAATAAGCCTTTTGAGGCATGCTGTAGGGCAGTGGTGTCAAACACAAATAGAACCTGGAGGCCACCAAAAGTTACATAAGGATCCCTACATACTGACTTAGAAAACCACATGTTAACATTATCTATGTTCTAGTATATTTGTATTTGTTTTATTAAATATTCTCCAATTGCATTTTAATCTGGTTCAGGGCCTCAATGTGTTTGACAGCTCTGCTGTGGGGCATTAGCATTGAAACCCCTATAATGCTATTCCCAAGATGATCAAGGGAAAACACCAACAGTTTCCTAAGCCAGCACTCTACCATCTTAAATAAGTACCAAATAAAGTTAGTCTGGACACCCCAAACTGCTTTAGTTTGGTTTCTTTGGAGTGTAAGGGGGAAGGGAATGACCGTTTATTAAGTGTTTACTATGTGTCAGGCACTGTGCCTTTACAAATATTATTTAATTTGATCCTCACAACAACACTGTGAGGTAACTGCTGAAACTATCTCCATTTTACAGTTAAGGAAACTGAGGCAAACAACGGTTAAATGATTTGCCCAAGGTCACATAGCTAGTAAGTATGCAAATATAAGCTCCTAATGAGCAGGTGTCATGACTTTTCTCTATGTTCTGGGTGGTGGTGTGCATAATATAGGCAATGATAATAGGGACAATAATGTCAATAGTACAACCATATGGCCATTAAAACCCCCAGAGCACAAATCTGCTGCATTAGAGTCTGTAAGCCAAGTAAATACTTGTAAATACTTGGTAAATTGGGCCACAAAACTAGACTATCTGGACTATTCAAGCCCCAAAGTATATGTTTGTTTTGGGATCAAGCGGGATAAATTTGGTCCAAATTCACTCAATAATAATTTAACTTTCTGCTTCCATTTGGCCATGAATTCCCTTAGCAAAAATTAGAAATTCCAAATTTAGCATATTAAATATTACCCAAAATGTACTCCTACATAGTCAATGGTCCTTTTAGATTAAATGTAAGGACATTATACTTATAAGTACATAATAACTATTTTATTCATAAGAGTCAGTGTTGGATAAATTAATTCAAAGTTCGTACGGGTCTTTAATTTCTAACCCTTCATGCAGTTACCATGTTATTTCAGATTCTCATTCTATCTAAGAATTTAGAAATTTTATGAAGTTAGAAATCATCATAATCTGTTCCAAAGCTTGATAATAAGGCTTCTATCACTGGTGATTTCTAATTATCTATGAATAATAAGCATTCTTCTGTCTTCCATTTAATAATGTTAAGGCTCCACTAGCCTTATGGTCTCTTGTTGCTAGGATATAAAATCTTTTATTAAATAAAAGTCTCCCTTCTGGCTTGATTTAATGCCAGTCCATCTGGCTCCATCTCGGATTGCTTTGCTACAGTACAGACTTCTGGGCCCAGTTCTAGCCCCCAGGCTCCCTTAATCCACCTGTTTCTCTCTTTGGATCATCAGCCTTTTGGCCTTATTGGCCTCCCAGAGACACTTTCCATGGCTCCACACCCTAGCTGTTCTTTGTTCCTTTCTGCAGCTGTTACCTGGGGGACTTCCAGGACCTCCAGGTATATCTCATGGGACAAAATAACCCATTAGAGGAAGGTTTATTCTCTCCCTATTTGGGCAAAATGGGGAATAGGAAATGACTTCATCAAGTAGGTACATACAGTTGTGTTTTGGGATCTATCTTTGACCACCATCATTGTGAAGAACGTCCCTAAGTTGTCTCCAAATAGGCTTTATGGTGGAGGGGGGGGGTGGGATTGTGATGTTTTCTATCTGGTACTTAGGCAATTTTTTATCTAATTACTCTAACTCATGAATTATATCAATTAAACAATTTGCTTTTTCTTCAAGTAACAAAATTGGGTTTTATATCTTTTAGGTTTTTCTCTAAGACTAAGGGCTTCCAACAAAGTTTTATTTTTTACCTTCTCAATGGAGTGAGCCATAGTGGAAATAAATGGAGAGACAGCTATCAGAAAAATCAACACATTATAGAATTGCTCCAAACGCTTTTCTTTGAAGAGGTATTTGGAGCAAGAGGTTCCAGGTTTTCCTTCTTCTTGACTTCACTAGAACTTTGTGCTATTATCTGTTCAACAACAAGTTGGGGAGCTACATGGTCTATAGGACAAGCATTGGACAGGACTATTTGTGTTCAAATCCCCACTCTGCCATTTATTATTTGTGTGAAGACCTGGCTGATTCCCCTAACACCCTAACTGCCCCCAAATTATTTTAACATATTGTGTATATACTTATACATGCACCTGTTGTATCCCCCAGTAGAATGGAAGCTCCTGGAGGGCAAAGAGTATTTAATTTTTGTCTTTGTATTCTCATTGCCTCATTCAGTGGTTTGCCACACTGTAGCCACTGAATAAATGCTTGTTGAATTGACATTAATCCTAGCAACGCTGAGAGATAGGTAGCTATATGGTGCTTTAATATTCACAAAGCTCTTCAGATATGCTATCTAGTTTGTTCCTCACAGCATTAGTTTTCCTGATCACATCCCATTTGCTCCCCTACAGCATTTTCCAGATCATGTGATCATAAATTTAGAGCTGGAAAAGAGTTGAGGTGAAAAATCCCTCCATTTTACATATGAGTAAATTGAGTTTCAAAGTGACTATGACATGCTTAAGGTCACAGAGCTAAGTGACAAAGGAAGAATTCAAATCCAAGTTTTCTGACTCCAAAATCAACACCCTTCTCATTACATAAGAAACTGAAGTTCAGAGGAATTGAGTGATTTGTCTTATGTTACACAGGTCAACAGTTGTCAGAGCCAGGATTCAAACCCCAGACTTGTGACTTCTAGTCCAGATGCTTATAAGGCTAAACCATGAAGATGTACTGTAAATATTAATAACTTAATACAGTCTACACAGCAGGAGAAAGTTAGACACATAGAGCCAAGATTCTAAGGAAATCTTAATAAGCAGGGAAAAGGTGAAAAGTGGGAAGCACTTTGAAGTTTGTGTTTTCCAGAGCTTCCCTATCAGTTACCTGCATATATTTCCATCACTATAAATGTCTTTTTACTCTCAAAGAACTTTACAGATGAACGATGGCAATATCTCCCTGATGGAGCAAAATAACATTCTCTGGAAGTGGCAGAAGTTCTCAAATCAAATCATATGAAATCTGGCACTACATTCCAGGAGTTCCAAATTCTGCTGTCAGGCCACCTTAAAGCCATACCCCGGCAGTGTTTTCAGGTCAATTAGCATTTCTTTGATGCTTGCCCTGGGCCCACTCATTGCTTCCCCACGAACTCAAAGTCAAATTCACTTCATTTAAGCTAGTGTGGTAAATAAATTTAGAGAAAGAGAGAGAGAGAGAGAGAGAGAGAGAGAGAGAGAGAGAGAGAGAGAGAGAAAACAAGAACAGTCAAAATTATCTTCCCTCCCCCCCAAAAGAATATGTTGAAAACTCCCTCAAAGTTCCAACTTCTTAAAAAGGTTTATGAGTCACAAACTAGACACCTTAAAGTCATAAAGTTCAAATAAAAATATAAATTCTGGCTTTGTATATAATTATCCAGTAAGTGGGGGAAATGTTATTAAAGTTCCTAACCAATGAGACACAAGAAAGACGGACACAAAGAAAGTTAAAGCTGAAAGGGACCTTAGAAATCATTTTGAATCCCCTCAGTTTATAGAGAAAGCAAAGCCCGGAGAGGTCAAGTGACTGACCATGGTCACACAGCCAAGTTAGAGAAGAACCCAATTTTCCTGGCTCTCACTCCTGTGCTTTCTCTACCATGACTTGCTGCCACCCAGGCTGTCAAATTTCTGCTAAGGAGTTGCAAAATTTAGTTCCGAGTAATTATTTACTGGACCATAATAATTATGGAAGGGGTGGTAATGTTTAACTGATTTCTGATAGGTAAGCAAAAAATTGTGACTCAGAAAGGAATGGGCTGGTTTTATTGGAGCCAATGTGAGATAAATAAAATGTATACTGGTTGTGGAGAAGTTAGTTGTTCAAAAATCACACAAAGCATGGGATGTGGTAGTAACTCCTACTATTGGACAGCCTGTGGCTGGCAGTTCTCAGGAGCTCTGGGCCT